ATCAAAACTTAAGCCAGGTAGAAATCTCATGCCTGCAAGTCATACATCCGTTAATTTCGAATAATATTGTGTAATATATCATGCTCAAATGTGATAATTTGATAAACTGATAATTACTGTACAGTCTCTTTTTGAATATGAATAAACATCTAAAGAGTACAAAAGGAGAAGATATGTTAACTTTTAAACTCAACACACTATAGTATTTAGTAATACGAGTACATTGTATAAATACGTATTGATATTAAAAAATGCTTCTTCTATATATTTTTAAAATTGCCTAGATCAGTTATAGGAAATGCAGCTTCCCAAACATAATTTGAGCATTCTCTTTTTCGGATCAGACATTTTCAGTACGAATTTCCTATATTTCATAAACTTTGGCAAATAAAAAGTATTTTACCGAAAGATGATCAAAGTATATCTTTAAGTTTTCTGAAACCGACCTCGTATCATTTAACCCCGTATGGTACTGCAAATGATATTAAAATTGCAGATGTAATAATTTTCTTATTCTTTATTTTAAGCTCTTTACTGTTCGTGTTTATTAAAACAATTGCTCCGCGGAATCAAAACGGGTAATAGCAGGTACTAATTTTTAAAGTTATAGTTTTGTGAAGGATCTGCGAAATGCATTTTATGTAGATAAAGATGTATGATGATAATGATGTCAGAATGATAATGATAATTATGTATTATAATGATAATTAAGATATCAGAGTGGTGACAAAGAATATATCAGAATGAAAATGAAGATATCAGTATGATAATGAAGGTACCAGATTAACAATGAAAATATCAGAGTGACAATGAAGATATCAGAATGACAATATGATATTAGAATGACAATGAAGATACCAGAATGACAATGAAGGTATTAGAATGACAATGAAGATACCAGAATGACAATGAAGATATCAGAATGACAGTATGATATTAGAATGATAATTAAGATATCAGAATAGCAATGAAGATATTAGAATGACAATAAAGATATTACAATGACAATTAAGATACCAGAATGACAATGAAGATATCAGAATGACAGTGACGATACCAGAATGACAATAAGATATAAAAATGACAATGAAGATATAAGAATGACAATGAAGATATCAGAATGACAATGAAGATATTAGAATGACAATAAAGATATTACAATGACAATTAAGATACCAGAATGACAATGAAGATATCAGAATGACAGTGACGATACCAGAATGACAATAAGATATAAAAATGACAATGAAGATATAAGAATGACAATGAAGATATTAGAATGACAATTAAGATACCAGAATGACAATGACGATACCAGAATGACAATAAGATATAAAAATGACAATGAAGATATAAGAATGACAATGAAGATATCAGAATGACAATGAAGATATTAGAATGACAATGAAGATACCAGAATGACATTGACGATACCAGAATGACAATGAAGATATTAGAATGATAATGAAGATATTAGAATGACAATGAAGATGTTAGAATGACAATGAAGATACCAGAATGACAATGAAGATATCAGAATGACAATGAAGATACCAGAATGACATTGAAGATATTAGAATGACAATGAAGATACCAGAATGACAATGATGATATTAGAATGACAATGAAGATATTAGAATGACAATGAAGATATTAGAATGACAATGAAGATACCAGAATGACAATGAAGATATTAGAATGACAATGAAGATGTAAGAATGACAATGAAGATACCAGAATGACAATGACAATACAAGAATGACAATAGGATATTAGAATGACAATTAAGATATCAGAATAGCAATTAAGATATCAGAATAGCAATGAAGATTTTAGAATGACAATATGATATTAGAATTACAATGAAGATACCAGAATGACAATGAAGATATCAGAATGACAATTAGGATATTAGAATGACAATGAAGATACCAGAATGACAATGAAGATATCAGAATGACAGTATGATATTAGAATGACAATGAAGATATCAGAATAGCAATGAAGATATTAGAATGACAATAAAGATATTAGAATGACAATGAAGATACCAGAATGACAATGACGATACCAGAATGACAATAAGATATAAGTATGACAATTAAGATATCAGAATAGCAATGGAGATATCAGAATAGCAATGAAGATATTAGAATGACAATGAAGATATCAGAATGACAATATGATATTAGAATGACAATGAAGATACCAGAATGAAAATGAAGATATTAGAATGACAATGAAGATATTAGAATGACAATGAGGATACCAGAAAAACAATGAAGATATCAGAATGACAATATGATATTAGAATGACAATTAAGATATCAGAATAGCAATGAAGATATCCGAATGACAATGAAGATATTTGAATGACAATGAAGATACCAGAATGACAATGAAGATATCAGAATGACAATATGATATTAGAATGACAATGAAGATACCAGAATGACAATGAAGATATTAGAATGACAATGAAGATATTATAATGACAATGAAGATACCAGAATGACAATGACAATACAAGAATGACAATAGGATATTAGAATGACAATTAAGATATCAGAATAGCAATTAAGATATCAGAATAGCAATGAAGATATTAGAATGACAATATGATATTAGAATGACAATGAAGATACCAGAATGACAATGAAGATATTAGAATGACAATGAAGATACCAGAATGACAATGAAGATATCAGAATGACAATGAAGATATCAGAATGACAGTATGATATTAGAATGATAATTAAGATATCAGAATAGCAATGAAGATATTAGAATGACAATAAAGATATTAGAATGACAATGAAGATACCAGAATGACAATGACGATACCAGAATGACAATAAGATACCAGAATGACAATGAAGATATTAGAATGACAATATGATATTAGAATGACAATGAAGATACCAGAATGAAAATGAAGATATTAGAATGACAATGAAGATATTAGAATGACAATGAGGATACCAGAATGACAATGAAGATATCAGAATGACAATATGATATAAGAATGACAATTAAGAAATCAGAAAAGCAATGAAGATATCAGAATGACAATGAAGATATTAGAATGACAATGAAGATACCAGAATGACAATGAAGATACCAGAATGACAATAGGGTATTAGAATGACAATTAAGATATCAGAATAGCAATGAAGACATCAGAATGACAATGAAGATATTAGAATGACAATGAAGATACCAGAATGACAATAGGATATTAGAAGCACAATGAAGAATGAAGATATAAGAATGATAATAGTGATATCCTTATGACAATGAAGATAAAATAATGATGAGGAAAATATCAGAACGATAACTATGTATCAGATGTTTCGGATTGATAATACTTGTATATGTTTATACAAATACTTATAATTCAGTATGATAACAAATGATGAAATTATCGATAATCAGCATTTATGTAATTATAAATGATACGACTTGGGTAAGATATATCTGAAAGCACATTGTTTTTGACTAGCTATCTTTTTATTAATGTAATCAAACAACATATTATCAATCAGAAAACACATTATCATAGTTGTAAACAAGGTTAGCTTTTAAAAAAGCTAGTACACTCGCTTCGTAATTTTTTTTCAAGGGGTGTGTTTAAATGTAAAATGACAGTTCTGTTAGCTGAAGAGACTTCAGCAAACACAAAAATAAAAGTGAAGTCAACACTGGCCCGGTGCCCGATGGCCAGTGTATATAAGTTCAGGCCAGTGTAAATTTAAGAAAATTTTGTTAATTATTTAGTAGAATAAATTCAAAACTGGAATTCGGGCCAGTAAATTCAAAATCTTAAACTCATTGACTGAAAGTGACATATAAAGTTCTCTCAGTTTAACCAAGATGAGTATGAGTATATATGAAGGTGCATGTAAACAGATAGAATGAAGAACCTATGTCTATGCACATTTACTATATGGCCTGTTGATCTTGACCACAAAATGTAAGATAGGTAGATTTCATAAAGATGTCTCTTTATACAAAATTAAGTTGTAATACATGTATGTTATTTAGTATTGGAATGAGAGGCACAAGTCCTAAAGTAAACACAAGTTGTCAATCAATTCAGCCAGAAAAGCCGGGATCCTATTAAAAAATATAGGGATCCCGGAAATTGACCAGTCTGTTTTTCAGATAAGCCGGGATCCTATTAAAATGTAAATAGATCTCACGGATTGGCCAGTTCAAGTATATAGTTTTCAGAAAAGCTGGGATCGTTTTAAAACATATAGGGATCCCGGGATTTGACCAATTCAAGAAAATAGTCTTTGATTTTTCCAATTAATTTCGGCATATTATTATTAGTATTGTGATTTCCGCATTTTAAGTTTGTTAATTAATAGCTCTAAATATATCTATATTCTAAGTTAAATTAATTTAACGTTCATTATATACAATAAAACAATTAACGTTCAATGGCCTTTCATTACGACAACAATCAACACAAATATAGTTCATTAGGTTTTTCCTCCATATCTTATACGATCCCGGATCCCGGGCGTCCCGGATCCCGGCCAGTAAATACATATACTAAATACCGGAAAGGATAAAATGACCGGAAAAAAGGAAAAATAAAAAATGCACAGAACCAGATGTACACTTATGTTAATTAACCAAACGAAAACTTACTACAGAGAAAACAGGTGAAATCGCTAAATCAGAAGTCAGTGTAAATATGATTTATTGAAAAGAATTCATAAAGACAAACATTTTAATCATCATTATATCTTTGCGCTCAAAACAATACTTGCTGATTTTTAAAAATGGCGTGAAAATTGAAGGTTTTTTGACGCTATGTAAGATAAAATTTGATTGGCTAAATAATTTTGGATCCTAGCCCTGATAGATAAATTTTGTAGAAAGCTGGAAGCCAAGCTTCGATTAAATTTTTGGATAGCTTCGGAGTTTTAGGTTGTTTCTCAGTAAAATCCTACCGTAATACCGGCTCGCCGTGGCGAGCCGGCATCAATAAAAGTAATAGTTTGTTAATTAGCCTGCTTATCAACAAGTTGTATGCTCGTATTATATAACGTTTGTACACTAAGCCAGTCTGTCCTATATACACTTAGCCTCAGGAGATCGGATCTTGCTGGGCTATAAAAATGACAGTAACATGTGAATTTCTTTGATGTTGTATGAGCATTTGTTTAATTTACATTGAATGTAAAAATAACAATATCAATTTTTGCGGGAGTAGAATTTGGTATTTGTTATGTCAGTTTTTCATGCCCTTATGAGTTAACTAAGATTAATAGTAATTGGATTTTGCCTATTGTATTAGACAAACATCTTTCCACCACATAGTTAAATTCTAAAACAATTATATTTCGTCTTTCAGATTGTCAAAATTATGATAATTCAACATATCTGTCAAAAGTTCAGGAGGAAGATGAAAATATTAAGAGGAAAAGAAAAATGAAAACCTACCAAGATTTTGTGACAGGTATATTTCAAAATATTGTAGAAAATACAGTGATCTTATTACCCTTGATTTTATAATGAAATTCACGAAGCCATGTTTATAAAAATCAATATATATATACAGTAGGTACACGAAACTACATGGTTTAAACTAAATTAAAAATAATAAGTATCTTTTTTAAGTAGTTGGAGAGTTTTGTTAGAATTTCGTTTAATCATAATATGTAAAAGTGATTTATTTTTTGCACTTGTAGCTGATTATTTTATATTTTTTTTTAATTTCAGAAAGTGTGATGAGATCTCAGGTTGGAGACGGTAATGATACGCTTATAGTATGCCCCAGATCGACACAGTGGAGGAGGACGAAAGAAGAATACTAATTAAGATACATGAACATTGCTATTTATAGTTTTAACAAAATATTCAGAATACATTCAGATCTAGGTTCAGTTATAAAATACAAAGACAAATATACAATCAGTGAGTTGGAAAGATGATTGGAAAATCCCAAACTCAGTGTGATCAGTTCAGTGGTGATATAAGAAAAAACACATGCATGGATGTTTACTATACAAAATGTCAGTGTTTAATTATTCAAGAAGGATTTGTTTATCTAATTTCTAAAACATGCTTAATTAATACATGAAGCGTTATTAAAGTACATACCGTCAAGTTAAATAGCTTCAAAAATATTATGTAAATCTTGCATTTGTTATAGTACCACATTTCTTGTTTTGTACTTGTGATTCCGAGTATAAAATAAATTGCTAAAATCATAAGAATGCTTATTTATTAACCCTATTAAAGAGCTTTAAAATGAAAAAAAAAAAAATTCCAAAAGTTTTGAATGAGGTTAAATCATGGTCAGAAAATTTGGTCAGATAAGGTTGGAATATGGTCAGATTATGGTCAGAAAAGGTTGGATTATGTCCAAATAATGGTCAGAAAAGGTTAGATTATGGTCAGATAATGGTCAGAAAAGGTTGGATTATGGTCAGAAAAGGTTGGATAAAGGTCATTTTATGACGTTGTATAGACGTCGGTTTCTGACGTCTAAAAAACTTTCAAATCCAACCTTCTGCCAACGTTTACCCAACGTCAGGGTCTAACGTCAGTACAACGTTGGTACAACGTCTTTTGTTTGCTGGGTTAAAAACCTACGCTGTAAATGAGAGATCATAAAGTAAAATAATTTCTATGCCAAACATTGTCAAGTATGACATAAAGATGAACAGTATGGCGATCTGCCGTTTTTTTGTTTTTGTTTTTTGTTTTGTTTTTTTTTTTTTTTTTTTTTTTTTTTTGGTAATTTAAATTTTGAATATCGCCGCAACCACGACACAAACAACATAAATTAATTTATTGAAGGGAACGGTAGGATGATGGGGTGACGTTGCACCAACACTGTAATGGTCACAAGGTAATTTTGTCAGCTTTTCTGATTTAATGCACGAACGAACATAGTAGTTGGAAAACCTCATCACATGAAAGAAGCCAAGACAAAGGCTTTTAACACTTGGCCACGAACGCAATGCCTATGCATGTGGCGTTAAACTGAACACGCAGATATAGCACGAATGAATTACATAATCTATGGATCACAAAATTGACCATCGGAAGAAAAATGATTGAATTCAGCTGATCAAGATGTGTACTTATTCACAAGGTAATTAAGGCTTTAACCTTTTTAATTTTTTTTATAAAATTCAAATTATTAACAAAACGGAAAGAAAGATTTTACGAACACATAACACGGAACGATGCTAAATAATAAAATAAACCTTTACTTAAACAGTTATAGAGATTTTGCTTCAAAACAAGAAATCTGAGATCAAAATTTCATTTAAGTTTCATATGAAGAAAATGAATGGATCATTCTCAATTTTTAATGCAGGTGACCGTGCAGGGTTGTATTCAATGTGTGAACTGACATGTAATTTGAAAAAAAAAAAACAATTCATATAGGTAAAATTTTTAACTTTAAGTCCTAGGTTCCTAGTAGCCTTATTAATTTATTTATTATTTAAAAATGTGATAACTAATTAATATACACTCGGGTATTTTCCTTCTTTAAACCGTTGAATTTTGTAAATCCACTTGAGTCTTTCAGTAAAATGACAAAGGGTAAATCTTGCCTAATGTAATGTTTTGCTTTTTTTACCTTTTTGTATTGAAGATTATTTCTTTGACTAGTCGCACAACTGAAGTCTAATTCATCATTGTGCACATTTATGACATAATATATTTTAGTGTTACCTGCATTTTTCGCGCGACACTTCACATCACGATAAAGATTATTTGTCCCAAGTTTTATCAAAACCCCTCCATGCATGTATAAGTAACAGTTGGGGCACAGGTTTTGCGCTGACCCCCAAGTGTTACCTTGACCTTTGAGCGGCGGACCATGGCTTTGTGTTCGATATACCACCCCTTCATGGGCAACATTTGTAGCAAATATTTTGTTAAAGAGTAAGAGTAAGCAAGATATAGACCTGACAAATCCGGGCCAACAAACAAATTTAAATATTTTTTTACCTTTGATCTCTTTTTACCTTGACTTTTATTTTGCATGTGCTATGTTATATTAAAATCCATGCACTCATGCATGTATAAAAAAGTTAATCTCGCAAACGCATTCACAAGGAGTGACACACGGAAGCACATAAACTGAAATATATGCCATAAGAGACGGCTTAGTCGAGCTCTTCGCAAGCGGGCTCAACAAATAGTTCTTTTTACTTGGCATGTTTTTTTATTTTAAAAATCCTTTAATATATACATCCAGTTGACATATAGGTACTTAAAATTCTTAAAAAACTAGGTCATTTTTTTATAGATAAAACAGGTTAGAGAAAACATAAATAAAACGAACAAGTTATTTCCTCATTCTTAAGATTATTTAGACATTGCTTGATGTGAATTATATGCCCTTCGAATAAGCAACATTTATAATTCCAGGGCAAATAGGTCAAAAATAAGAATGTTGACCAACAATTGTTTTCACATATAAAAGTCACAATCTATCAATAGATATGATATCATAGTGCCCAGTTTATTAGTCCACAAGGTTAATATCCAGTTACACTTATTTTACAGTTTGTACCTTTAGTTTGAAATGTCCAAAGGCAATGCACGATTCTACTTCTTTCTTTTCATTTTTTTGTAGAAAAACATTTATAATTTCCGCTGTCTTCAAATATAACTCTGTTGTATTTTCTTCCACTCCTACAGCGTATAAATCTCAACAATTTTGGTTTCAGAACAAATAAAGATCATACTTAGTTTAAAAAGGCAATTTAGACGTGCTTATTAAGTCTTTAAACAGCGGCTGAATTTTATATTCATTAAGAAATCATAAACTATATAAGCATCAATTCATAATTGAGTACTGTTGAAAATTATTTAATAAGGTTTCCCGGAGTTGACACATTTGTGGACATTACATAATCCAGATTAAAGAGGACTGAACCACAAAGGACTTTTTTCTATGAATTTGTCATATAAATAAGAACTACAGAAATGTATAGTTAAAATATGTTTGTGAAATATTTCAGAATTAGAGAATATTTTATTAGAGTTTTGAGAAGTTTATTATCTACTTTTAAATAATGACCTATGAGTAATAATATTTAATCTAGAGCAACTAATTGGCGTCCGCGCCAAAGCGGCGCCCCTTATGGAAAAGTAAGGGCAATTGCAATTTCTCGTCTGTCATAATAGCCGATTATTCCGATTTATTACATGCTTTTCGGTGGTTTATAGAAATATATCAGTCATTTAAAACTGGTAATTTCACTGTTTGAAACAGTGAAATTACCACTTTGATAATTTCACTGTTTTGAATTTAAGCCCCTTACGTTGTTTTAGTGAAATACCAGCGTGCACAACCCTAGGTACCAACTTAATGACGTGACGTCATAAATGAAGTCACGTTGTATTATTATTTGGCGCGCTTTTCATTCAGTATTAGGTTTAATGTCTTTTTAAAACGTTTCTTTGCATATAATAAAAAGAAAATTTGTTTTGTTTAGTGTAAGATCGAAATATATTTCACCTTGTGAACACCAAAAGTTCATATTTCACTCGTGGCTGCGCCACTCGTGAAATATACCTTTTGGTGCTCACTCGGTGAAATATATTCCGATCTTACACTGAACTAAACAAATATCCTCTATTGGTATGATGAAAAATGAAATGTCGCGATATGTATAATGAATAGCGAACTGGAGAATTTCGCAATGTAAACATATTCAAGTGAAATTATCTTATCCGTCAATTAATCGCGCTCTTTTTATTAATCATTAAAATTTTCATATACTCAAAATATTGGTAGAAGTTAGTTTAACCAATTTGTTCACATCTTTATTGTAGTGCACAAAATATGAATAAGTTAACAAGAGCGATTCTGAGTAATTATTCATGAATATGTTAAACTTGTTAATTGATGGTGAAATCTATTTTTTTCTAGGAATATACAACTTCCATAGAGAGATATTTGTATTGCAAACAAGTTATATTTTATTCTGTAGCATAACCGTCCACTTTATTCTAAAAAAAAGACTTCCATGGCTAGAACTTGAAGGAATGTTGCAAACAAAGTTTACGCAATTATGTTTAACGAGACCACTTCCTGATGAAAATGTGCTGCAACTCATGGTTAGATACAAATTGTCCAATGCATATTTTTATATTTTGCATATTTTGCATCATTATTGATGTCCGACTGAGAACGTTTATAAACATTTCTATTTTAGACTAACGAAGATACAAGTATTTTGATGCACAACTTCTGGAAATGGATAACTGATGTACATTATCTTATTGCACAATACCTTTTGCAGTTTTGGAAGGACGGGTAATTAAATCTATTGATATATTTTTTTGAAGAAATGTAAATAGGAAACTCAGTATTTTCAGTCGGGCTTGTATAAAAAAATAAATGATACAACAGATAACAATTATGAAAGATCCTAAAGTTAATAATCATTCTATAGGTTTCTTGCTTATTATTATTTATTATTATTATATAATCAATGTAATTAATGTAAATATTATTTCTTTAATTTTTTAAACTGTCCTTTTTAAAGAAAAGATACGCTAAAATATATTTGTTAAAATACATATGAATCACGTGTAACTACTTTTTTCCTGACAGAGTGGATAATTAAGTACGCAAGTGTGTGTTATGTTGACGTAGTTTTGTCTTCCACATTCTCGCTTATAATTTTACCAATGTCACGTCGTGTTTTAATGACATTACATTCAGTTTACACATGCGCACTTCTAATTCCTTAATTATAAAGTGTTCGACTTAATGAACATTGTGTTGTAAGCTGCTAAGTGTGTAGACACCTTCAAGATGGCGTACTGTCTTTTTTTACTTATAAATAAAACTCATGGCCCATCAGGTCCTAAGAGTGAACAAACAAACAATACAACAAATAATAATACAAATATGGTATAGAATTTAATAAGGAAGTAAAAGAGATGACAGTGAAATTTAAGCATTATAGCCGGAGCAAACATTGCTAGATTAAAAAGTATTTCTGTTGGTACATCTACACATTAAGGCCTGCAAATTTAAAATACAAAGATATATTGAAAAGTAAGTACTGATATACATGTGTCTTTCATGACTAAAATAACTACATATAAAAATAAAGTTAAATTCATCATCTATTTCTTAAACTGAACAGGTTCTATTTTCCCTTTCAATACCAAAATAGCGACCTTCCTTTATAGGTAGATCAGAATTGTACGTTTACGAAGAACGTGTGGAGTCTCGGTACTACCTTTTCCACTTCGACAGTCCGACATCTTGGAATTGTGTACACATTTACGACCGTACAGCTAGCAAAACAGTGATAAATAAGTGACGAAATTTGCATGTCTATACGATAAAGATTCGCATTTATTGAAAATTTTGGCGATTCATTGGTAAAAAGTGGATTCATCGTTGCAGATTGATTACTGGTTTTTTGAGCATGAATAAAGCTGAATGGATCTTGAATATATTTCAACCTGCACGGCACGGAACATTCATCTTAAGATTTTCGGAACCAGACCTGAAAATGGGAGAGGCTTTAGAATACACACATGTTCATCTAAAAGCCTATGCATTAGAAATAAAAGAAAGGAATGGTGCGTGCAAAATGATTTGAAGTGATGTCAAAACTATTTCGTTTCTATTTGAACTTTATTTAAATGTTTTATGTATCAAATCTACAAGAATATATACTTTTATATCACAAAATATATGTGTATGGATTGGAAAACAAAGCATAAACCTTACCATGGCATGAGTTTCGTCAATATAATTTCTCTTTTTATGATCAAAGGATGTTTTACATGTAAATATTGATATAAATTGACAAAAGGTCGTATAGTACTATTTGGTTTTGATTCATTGATCTGTAAAACAGTACAAGATAATAATAATGTTAAAAAGCCGTTATACGACATATTTGAACTAATTTTCACATTATCTTTTTTATAAATTTTCTAACCTGATTTTTAGTGAGCCTATATAACCTACCAACAAGCAACTTCCGGAAGCTTGGAAAATATTTTGAGGAAAAAATTGCTTTGGAAGATGTACCAAGATGGAAACATCTGATTCAGAAACGTCGGTTAAAAATATCACCATCAATAAAAGGGCACATAGGTATATTTAATTTCTTCAAATATATTCTGTTTTTTTTTTTACATTATAGATATAATTGTTATAAAATCCATGTTTGCAATTCTGACGTTAAAATCATAATATTTGCTAGAATACAGTTTCTGATTTAACATAAGGGAGGGTATTCAAGGACGCAACATCATTGCTTTTTTGGTGCATGTGCTGAATCATTTAATTTTATAATGATTCTTGTTTAATTATTTTTCAAGAGGTTGAAGTTCAAAATCGCTTTTCTATACATGTCGATATAATAGTGCAATTTCGATGAAATGGAAACTTGGACTTTGAAACAGAATGTTCAGAACACTGTCGTATTTCCTGATCGTCTTGGTACATTATCAATGTCGTACTTTTACATTGAGACATATTTCTGGTAACTCTTTTACCTAGCTAGTCGCGTTAAGCATGAGAACTTGTAGTAAATAAAGACTCATTTTAATGAATAAAAATGCCGGAAAACTCACGATTATTTTAGATTCACTTGGTTATTTCCTTGCCTTATTTCGCTCGGCTCTCCCCTCCCGGTTTTCCATATCCATCATTCTTAAAGGAATCCATCGTAGAGCTTCCGTGATGTTTGACATAATAACTTAGCATTTCCCCAACAACTATTCTGATCTTAAGTATGAAAATATATGATAACAGAGTATTTCAAGACATTTTGTACCCCACACCTTTCAGTGCTGGGCAATACATAGCTGTTTGGTGGTAATAAAACGGGCTCTACTTCATTCTGTTAAAATAATAGATTATCACTGAGTTTGTATGTTGCTATCTTTTGCATTTACATGAAACATGACTGGAGTTCTGAACGAGTAAACTTAGCTGTAGGGCTACCACAGCCTTGCCATGTTAAGTTGTTTCTTTGTTAACTTATATAAAGCACGCTGCCAAATTTATTTACTTGCTGACATAATATTACTGGCGCATCCTTATATGTCATATATTACGATACTACAATGAAGAAAATATTTTAGACTATGCCACAAAGTATTTCAAATGTTAATATTAAAAGTAAATTTGTTGCTTATTTGTTGTCTATATACACTGTACACCATATACACAAAATAAAATTACCTTTGTTTTAGCGTTTATATTATTAAGCTTTTCATAACAACAGTATGACACTTAAGATTAATGACACAAATTTTTCTTTTCATTTTAGAATTGGCCTTGCTAAAATACGACTGAATATGCTTGCATTTGCATTGTATGTTAAGATTAACATGTTAAAATAATCTTATTTGTATATTTTGTGAGTAAATCCTTATTCATTTGGACATTTTTACAAACAATAATAAAACATTGAAAAATATTGATTTCGTTTTCAGAGGATGCAATCAGCCCAGGTATTGCTTTCGTAGAGGAGCTTAAGAAAAAACGTTACATGATAGAGGACTTGGCAGGCTGTTTTAAACAACATGAGATGTACGAAGGTCTAGATATTCTACATGCAAAAGAAGAACATGGTATTTGTTAAAATTGTTGTGTTTTGACATACATATAAACAAGGAATAATAATTCAATAAATTATATGTGTTACGTGAAATGGCATGTAGTAGTAAAACCTAATGTTTACGTTATCCTTAAAAACTGACGCATAGCCTGATTATTTTGGCTTTATTCTATTATATATTTAGTATCTCACATCCGTTATCATTTAACATTGATATCCGGGGTCATTGATTTCAATAGTTTTATCGCTGAGTATTAAATACCGCTTTAGCCGGTGCTAGTGGCGTGAGAAATGTCAGAAGTACATTTTTTTAAAGTAAAAAGACTCAATAAAAACGAGTCTGCCATTGCTATTATTATTTTTTTAGTTTTTGTTCAAGAGTGATCTCCAGTTTTCAAGGTTTTTACACCATACCGGCACTATTGATATGTTTATGCTTTCTATTTGCACGTTTCGTAATGTTTTCTAAACTCGTTTGATATAATTTTCGATCACCGTCCTATAAACTGTTGTCAATTATAAACCTTGAAGTTTGGCATAGTTTGCTACTACATTATATTTTTTAATATAATTACTAAAAATAGCTTAAACAAAATGTTACTATGTGATAATTGGCTGCACTTACCGCTTGAAAACATAATTATGTTTAAATGAGTTGGCATATATCTTACCAATATGGCCTTTAGAATATTAAGTCGAGTACGTACCAGAAACAAAGTTATAACATTTGCGTAAGTTTACATTAATCTATATCTGGTATATGATTTTCTTCATTGCCATTCCGATCTGTTTTTTACTTTAGATCAATTTCAGAAATGCAAATTGGTGATAAAGTGACATCAATTGTTCTTTACTTAAATCAAATAAAAAATATTTCCTATTAAGGTAATAAAAAAGATGCATACAAGTTATTCAAATCATTTTTATTAAACAACTGTTTAAAGTTTACAAATAGTGGCCTTTTTGTAAATTGCAAACTATATTGGTGAAAGTCCAAGCTTAATTGAATCTGTGTTTGATCGAAAGAGATATTATGTAATATCATAAATATTATCTTTTTTTTTTAATTTATATTTGCAATTTACCATGAATTGTTATTTAGCTTCCAATTCCATTTACTTCAAATCAGAAAAGATAGCATAATTATTTCTACGTACGTTTGTCATTATTTTAATTTTCAGACAGCGTTTTGTCAGTGTCATATTTCACATTCAGAGAAATAGGATTAGCTTTTGAGCGTTCGTATACTGTTCAAGTAGACGACGGAGAGGAAATTCCTTGCTGGAAGTATATCATTCGTTGGAATGAAGAATTTAGTGTAGTCAGGGAACACGAAGTAAATATAGGTAAGTGACACATACTCTTTGTATATTTCTCAGATTTTTTTATGAATAATGTTATAAAAGAAGTTCTGTAAAGAATATCCTGTTTTTATCATTAAATCAAAATGCTAGTTTTCATGATTTTTTGAAAATTAATTTTAGAGTAAATTATTGTGAAGTGAACAAAGAAAGTAAATGACAGCATTAAAAATTAACGTAACCAAACATTGAAGTCAAAATATGCAATAATAGCACTTACTTACATTAGTAAGAGGTATGCTGCTTTAAAAAGCAGGACCAGAGAGTGACTAGCCCTGCAGTCTGACGAGGTTCTAAATGTTAGGGGCTCATTTTCTGTATTGAATACATTTAAACCATTTATACTTTCAAATGGACTGTTCATAATCTAAAGCTGGCCAATTCTTGGTAACCTAATTTCAACAGGTTAATTTTCCGAGACTATTATATGGAATAAGAATAAGACTACATTATGTATCAATAACAATACAGTTTTATTATCAATCTTATTGTATAATTTGATACACGACAAGTTATAAGAAAACGTAGGTGGTTTTATAAGAAACTAACGAACAATTAAGCATTCATTAAAGTTCTAGCGATTGTCCATTTTCTCGAATAAAATCTATTTTGCCATAAAATTATAATCTAAGTGAGTTTGTCTATTATATATGTTGTGTAAATTATTTGCTTATTATAGATAATATAATTACTTACATTGATTTGTTTAAATTATATGAAAACAATAGGAAAAAGTTCGAGGCCAGGCGAAAAGTTTTTGGATATATTCAATGACTGTGGCTTCAAACTTACTGACCTTATCAAAACATGTAAGGATTTAGGATTGGACGGAATAACACATATCATAGAATCAAGCAAGCATGATGGTAAAGTAAACCTTAATTTTCTTATACCATAACGATTGATTCGTGTATCTGCTGATTATCCCCACCGCTTTCGGAAAACCTTGTAATCTACTTTAAGAGATGTATGTACCGAAATTTACCTAGTAACATAAAGAAATTAAAAGTATGAAATGATTTAAATCTATCAATTAAAAGTCTGGAAAATGATAAAATAGAAGCAAACCTGAAGGAAAACTTTATTATAAATGTAACGTTTAACATATGATCATACGTATCGGCGTTTTTAGTCCGTTTCAGTGCAAGTTTTATGACATTGTAATTCGTAACATTTATTAATACATTGTTTCTTCTATTGTTTCATCCCTCATTTTGCAGCTTACCTTGAAAAGACGATTGTCAATGTGGATATTGGTGGAGCAAGGGAATTGGAAAAAAAGGGTTTGCTGGATATTTTGAAAGAGAAACAAAAAACTGTTGGAAACCTCTTGTTAAGATATCTTTATCTTGGAAAGCGAACGCAAACGCTTCAGCAGCTTCAAGAAAAATATACTAATCAAACATAGTCAATAGTTATTAGATAATACAATATGAAACAATTCTATGTTCAAAAATAGATATGTTGTGTGTTTACGTTCATAAACTGTGCATATTGCATTTTAGGGAAAAATCATTTAAGTAAACATTTTATTAATTTAACAAAGAAAAATTCAAACAAGTAATATATAGTCATTTTTTATTTGTATAAATTACACACAGATGTGATATTCCATTGTGACAATAATAGAAAGATCAAAATTTAGTGTATTTACATGCTTATTAGACATTTTTTCCTGTTTCATAATGACGTACAAGTTAAATCAATGTATGAGAAGTACCGGAATAAATATGATAATTATATAAAACATTGACGTCATGGGGATGTATGTTGCTAAAGCTCTTATAGCTTGTAGCCTGACTCATTGACACTATATCTCTTTGTTATTCTTTGTTTCTTTGTATTATTATTCATGTAACCTTTCATGTGTACTTTGTACATAATAGTATCAATAACATTTTAGGAAACTAATAAAAGAGACATATCTAATTAAAGATAGATTTACTTACCTGTCAAAATGTTTCATCATTTTATTCAGCTTCAAACAATGTTGATTTATAATTGAGTAGTTTAAACTTAATAACAAAATGACTTGTGTCTAAATTGATTGGCGATTGATCTGTTTTAGTTTAACACGACTGTTTACTGTCTAATTATTGATTTCTTTATCTTTGTTGTTTGACCTAACTGTATACTATTTGATAATTTACGTTGAGGTTTATCTTTATAGTATGACCAGAATCTTAACTGTAGACAATGAACTGTTTTTCGCTGCAGGTTGATCAGACTTCAAACTATTTGATAATGTATCTGACGTTTATCTCTATAGTATGACCAGACTCTTTACTGTTGACACTAGAATTGTTTATAGCTGCAGTTAAATAATACTGCAAACTATTTTATAATGTTTTTGACTTGTATTTATATAGTTTGACCAGACTCTTTACCGTTTTACAATAGATCTGCTTATCTTTGCAGTTTGATCAAACTGTACATAGTATATTATTTTATTATTGATGGTATCTCGACAGGTTAACCAAACAGTAAACTGTTTCGAAACAGATCTGTTTATCTTTGGTGTTGAACCTGACTGAATGTTTCTTAATAATTGATTTTTTTATCTCTATAGTTTTACCCGTTTGTATCCTGTTTGATTATTAAGCTTTTCAATTTAAGTACAGCTATCGGTACTTCTTTATTCATACCAATACGGTATGAGGTAAGTATAATAGTGACCAAAAAAACAGCCCGCTCAATAGCCGGACAACCGCTATCTTACAAAGTGGTTAACCTGTAATAGATAGCCTGAACTTAATTGGATTTACAGATCATTACAAGTATAAAGTAGTGAACACAATTTCGTATTCCATCTGAACACCGCTGTTTGTTCGAATCCCAACAGGGACTTTGAATTATTTCATGTGAGGAAGCTATCAAGCTAACTCAGGTGCCCATTCGTGCCAGACATAATGCACGGCATAGCACATGAGGTCTACCCCCACCAGTAAAGCTGGAACGTGAATATATGACTTAAACTGTGTCAGTGTGACGTAAAACTCAGTCAAGCAAACAAACAAACAGTCGCACCGAAACAAAGGATCACTATACACAGGATACATACACAACACAACAACACATATATTGATCTACATTTTATTGATATATTTTTACATGATATTTAGATCTAAAGAAGCAGTCACTAAGCCTTATCATAAAAATGTTATTTGAAGCTAAGAAAATCTAACAAAAAATGAGCTTTATACAAAATCTGTCCAATCACATCGTATGTGAACTAATAAGCGTCTAGCTTACCTTTTAAGACACACCGCGGTTCTGCGTGATTTTAAATTCTTCTTTAAAGCCTATATCGTGTGACAATTATTCCAATTAAAACTGTAAACTAAGAAATATTTAAAAATAACGAATTGTATGTCATAAAAAATCTTGAAATGGGATTTTAGAGTAAAGATTTTTGCAGCTTAGTTAGGTCCCGAGCTATCGCCAAGATCCCACAAAAAGCACATGTATTTATGATATTGTATCTATATTTCAGCAAGTTTACTATTTGGGAATGGATCAATACAAATACAAAAGTACCTGTTGTACTAGTCTTAACCCCATTCCTCTTCTTTCTGTTTGTCAATTTTTACCTTTTCATTGTTTTGTGTGCTTTGTAATCCTCATTCAGCGACCTGGAAACCGTAATGACAATGACGTAAATCATTAACCACAAAACATTATACATATATATTTAAAACAATTGAGATAACTAGAGATAGACCAAGCAGTTGTTTACCTCACCCTTGCTTCCTACTAAATCCATTTAATTTACATCTGCCCTTTTTTTCTCGTTTAAGGGGATGGGGGGAGGAGGATGTCAAGATTTGAAATTCATACGCTGCTGTTAATTTGAAAATACGAAAGTGAGTGTCATATTGTATGTGTTTGTAGTTTGCACTAGTATGCAATATGTACTAAATTTTTCATGTTATGTTTCAATAACCTTGTTTTCAATATGCCATACCTACCTTTGTTTTTACACATTTGTATAATATTTCATTGTTAATTACTATGTTATGTTTTGCATATTATCTTATACTTTTTAACTTTAGAAGTAACTATCAGTTGGAGAGAAACAGACCCGGTGTGGCAATGTTATTATTCATCATGGGGTATAAGATTTAGTGCATTTAAAAGCTTATGTAAGATGAACATCAGTTTAATGTAAAAAGGAAAAAATCATTTAGCGATTTAATTAGTGATATAGGAATATTTTATGTGTGTTTGTTATAAACGATATGTATGCAAATAAGTTTAAATGATAACATTTTTCTGACTGTCATTGCAGTTTCTTGATTTTCATAAAAATAACAGTTATCAAATATTCAATTTGCATAAATAATTATTACTATAATTGCTGTAGTAGTTCATTAAAAACATCGGTTAGATTGTTATTTGGAAGACATGCCCAGGATATTTTGAGACAATTTTACAAGACTACAAGATCTGTGATAAAATTTACTTCAACATCAATTTACAAAATTTTAGTTACATTTTTGTGAGTTGTATGTGATAACAACATATTTTTAATGTAATCTTATCTTTAAAAGAATTTGTTACTTTTGTCCTATAGCAATTTTTATAACCTGTATTAAAATAAACAAGAAGTATCTTTAATAAATATATACTTGGCCGAACTAAAACTGTTTAACATTCTTAGTATTCGATACATACAGAAATGTTACTAATGCCTGCATAACAATGACATAGTTATTTCTTGTAGTAAAAAAATCCATTTATAAACATAGAAATTAAATTTTAAGCATATTGATGTTGATGTCTTTTCAAAGAAGAACAACTTTTTTGAACAATATTTATTTAGTGTCCCTTTAACTGCTTTACGTTTGACTATAAATTTTGTAATAATATGCAATATAAGTTTCACAAACAATAACAATTGAGATAACTAGAGATAGGCCAGAAGTGGTTCATAACCCCAACCACACCATTAATTTTGTGAAAGGTTGTTGGTCTGAAGCAAACTATTAACACTGTATACACCCCTTAATTTAGTTTGTACTCAATAAATTCGTTAGTTACAGTTTATTTCAACTCTCAATGTAAATGTTTTATTTCTTATATGCTTAATGTCATTATAGATTGAAAAAAGAATTGCTTAAACAAGCGAACGAAATGAAATTTGAATAGGAAGTTTATAAATGAGAACGTATTTATTGGTGATTTGCATAACGTACAAAGGGAAATAATGAAAAAATATTGAAGATCCGAAACAAAATTGTAAGTAATCTCTCTTATTTAAAAACACGTTTGTTTCAATTGTCAGATGACCTCTGCCTTTTTTATATCTTATTCTCCAGCTAACACTTTATCCTTGAAACGTGATAGGATCATAAAACATTCGAAAATGCTGCTATCAGTGTTATGGTGACAAGCCATATTAATTATAATTAAATGTTAACCACTGGCAACAGATAGGGAAGTTTGGGAAAACTAAAAATCTGGTTTAAATGCGTAGGACTGAGTGAAATACCCCTCTCACATTTCTATTTTATTTACTTTCATGCATTGTTTTATTTGCTAAAAAAACACACAACAGGCATTATGTCGAATAGTTTATATCAACGTTAATATACGTACCTGTTTATATCTAAACAAAATTTAAACTGAAAATAATAGATCAACCCATGAAGAGAAGGACAACCTTAAATACCACAAACTCAACAATTAGCACCCAAATATGTGTAGTAATTTGCATTTTACTTTGTCAAAGTCATTTTTATAAAAAAAAATTATAAAAATGGTAAATACATTTTACGATTTTTTTTATCTTGTTCTTCTATAAATTTTTTGTGTTCATTTTTGCATTTGATTTAAAACTGATTAAATACAAAATAAGTATAATTGCACGAAGTGACCATCAGTATGAGCCGCCATTTACTACGCAGTACTTTTTCTTATACTGAGTTGTTATATGATATTTTCAAAACACAATGACTGTCAAAAGCTTTCTTTATTTCATACAAATCAGCAATTAACAGAACAATTGAATGACGCCAAATAAGTAATTTAAGAAGTGAATATAGATTATAAAAAAGAAATAACATTTAGATTCGACTGTTTTGAATATGTTATACACAATTTGGAATTGAATAGTAAGGCGAAATAAAAAACAATTATCTTTAAATGCTAATGAAAAATGAAATGTGATAGCTTGCTTGTTAAAAATTGCAAACTCTTATAATTCTTCAAATAATATCGGAAATAATGAATAAATAAAAACAAATAAATGAATAAATAAATAAATTATGATAATGTTGGTCAAGTGTTGCGGTCTGAATCAAAATATTCGGCCTATAAGGCGGTATCGCAGCTTGGATATGCAGCGTCCGATCCGAACCGCAAACACATGCCATTTTTTCCTGCATATACTTCTTTATTTTGAATAGTTTTCTCTCAATTAATTAATGTTTCATGTAAAGTCATGTCAATTTTTTCGTTACTGTTTAAGAAATAGTACACAGCACTTAAGGCCTCATTGCAATTAAGTCCGCAAGCGTTCGGCAATAACATATTACGCGCATTTCTGTAGAATAATTCTCGCGGTTTTTTATGTCGCTAAATCGATTTATTAAGTTAAAATGTTCTAATTGCCATTCATCAACCTAGTAAAGCTACTTGCATGGTAATATTTCGACAGAACAAATTGTGTATGACTATCAATAAAATTGTGAAAAAGATAAATGAAAAAGAGATGTTAATCTGTTGTTTTTCCTTTAGAAGAATATTATACTTTTTATTACATGACAGCCGCTGCGCATCGCCTGTCAGCCGCTGCGCATCGCCTGTAACTCTTACACATGGATACTTCTTATGATGAAGCCAACGTATCATTGCTGTTAAATACCCTAGACTCAAATTCAAAATTAATTTTCATCCGTGCATTGATTTTTAACTGAAGCAGCCATTATGGCTAAATCTATATTTTAACAAAATTCAAACAGTAAAATAATAGATCCACCCATGTAAAAAAGGACAACTTGAAACCACAAACTCAACAGTTAGTTCCTTAACATGTGTAGTAGTGTCCGCATTATTGCAGATCAACGAATTTCCCCAAGTTTAAAAAAATGCCCTTCTTAATCGTATTGACAGGCAAATTTTGTCACTTATTTGTTAAGTCGAACACATTAAAATGATTTAGAGTTTTGAACGAAGTGTGCATGTGTAAACAGAATGTAATAGCCCATCTTATTATGACGACGTGTCATTGGTAAAATTCTAGGCGAGCACTACTTTTAAGGCGGAGTCGTTTTGTCTATAATCTCATATGCAGAATATCTAAACAAACACAAACATTTGGTAAATTTAAACAGTTGACATACATTAATCTCACTATATATTGCCAGTATTTGTTAAATAATGCACACAGGCACATGAAGTTTTACTCATATTTTCAAAATATTTAGGGGTTATTTCAGAATGTTTCACATGGAAGTGGCCAAGGACAAAAAATGAAATAGGAAAATTAACAAAGGGCAATAACTACAAAAAGAAGTGCAGAGCAGCAGTTTCTGCGCACTGCACTTCTTATCAATGAGATTTTTCATCCTATGAAGTAAAAAGACCATAGCTTTTGTACTTTAGGA